GGAGGTAGAAAAGAGAGGAATAAGCTATGAACAACAATTAGACAAGCTAGAACTATTCAGTCCTGAGAGAAGACGTTTCAAAGGGGATCTGATAGAAGTGTATAACATTTTAAATGGGATTGAGAAAATAAGCCCAGAACAATATTTTAAGAGCACCAAGATAGATAGAGCCAAATAGATAAAGGTTTAGAGCTGTAAAGCGCAGTTTCAGGACATTTTTCTTTACTCAGAAGGAAGGTAATTAATGACTGGAACAGATTGCAGGAAGGGTTGTTGAGGACAGGTCATTGGACTCATTTAAAAAACTGTTTAATGCTGTGATAAGAGAACAGTAGGGTAGGCCTCCCAACTAGACTTCTCAAATGCCCACTTCGCCAGTCTACCCAGCTCCACCATGCATTGGATCCAACTGATCCAAAACTCCATGCCCACATACTCACCTGCACTAAACTCCATACCCCCATCACACCAGTTCTAGCCAGGCTCCACTGGCTCCCCACCATTAAATGGGTTGATTTCAAGATCTTCACACTTATTTTCAAATCCTTTCATGCCCTGGCACCTCCCTATCTCTCCGACCTGCTCACCCCCCAACCCCCAACCCGCTGACTCCACTGGACTGGCTCCGGCCTTCTGCATGTCCCTCGTGCTTTCTGTTCCACCATTGGCGGCCGCGCTTTCGGCTACTATGCCCCGAAACTCTGGAACACCCTTCCTCTATCTTGCTCTTTACTTCCCTATTTTCAGGTCACGCCTGAAGACCTTCCTATTCAACCGTACCTATGGTCACCTCCCCCTCCCTCTGGCTTGGAGTCTTGCTCTGTTACTGTCAAATGCTCTGGGAGGTTACCCTGTCTGAGAGGCGCTATATAAATGCAAGTTGTTGTTGTTGGTGTTCTGTAAGGATAAAATTAAATGGACTGAAAGATCTTCTTCATCCAAACTAGTCTTGTGATTTTATGAATTACATTAAATGCATGCTATAAGTGCAACTTCTTGGTGTGATGTTAGGAAGTGGGGGAAGTGGATGCCTTTTTCAACACTTTTTCTATTGTAATGCACTATTTTAGTTTAAATACCCAGGGATACCTCTGAACCTGGTGGGGCTTACCACAAAAAAAACAAGAAACATTTTATCAGTCTGATTATTTGTTTGAAAAATTGATTTCATTCTGGCTAGAACTTGTAAATGAAGCACGAAGGACATACTTAGTAGACCACAGCTTGGTTCCAGGCTCCATTTTAGTTACAGGTTAGCCATCACTGTTGTAGGCAAATGCACTGTATCGGAGTATTAGCCAAGACTATGAGCTCAGTTGAAAGTCTTAACATGGTGCTTGAATCCACAACCTTCTGACTCAGAAGCAAGAGAGCTACTAACTGAACAAGACCGAAGCAATAACAAGTTCCATCTTCTTTCATTGTAGAATCCCACACTTCCAGTTTATGTTGTATGTTCACACTTTGCTATTCACGCTGTGCAACGTGTGCTGTGCAGTTGTGATCTATTTGTTGCTCTGATTGTTCAGTGCGACACTTCAGTACATCTAGAGTACAATCCTGGCTTGACTGCATCTAAACTTTCAACGGAGTCCTGTAGCTCAGTGGTTAGAGCACTCGCTTTGCAAGTGAGAGACCTGAGTTCAATTCCAGGCAGGGCGAAACCTTGGGCAAGTTTCCTTACTCCACACGCCTAATAATAATCCCTCCAAAACAAAACAATAATAAATTGGTCATTTTCAATCTACGACTGTTTGTGGGACATTGCTGTGCGCAATTGGCTGCCGCGTTCGCCCACAAATATACAGTCAATTCACTTTACAGTACATTCTGTGAAGCGCTTTGGGACGTCCTCCCGACGTGAAAAGCGCTATTATTATTATAACCTGTAAATCAAGACTGAAACGGCAGCCCTGAGTCAAAAACAAAAGTATCAGGGTCAGCTGTCGTTAAGCAGGAATCCAACCAGGTACCAACATCCTGAAAAAAACACTGCCAAAGTTGGGGTCAATTACAATCTGCAGAATTCCACTCTAGTTGTAATAGAATCAGAGCAGATTTCCAGTGGGTTGATATGACCATCTTCCAGTTATCACTATTTGTGACTCAGAATAACTATTTGTCACTCCTGTTACAAATACTGTGTTTCAGATTCGTTTTGTGTCAAATGAAAAAAAGGGTCTCCACTGCAAACAGGGGAAATCTTATCTTGGGGATAAATACACAAGTGATTGTAGAGAAAATAAAGGAATTGTACAATAGGAATTCTAGATATTTATATTTTCTCTACTTTTATTCAATATTCTACAGGGAGCCGCACAGCCATTTATTTGGAAAAATTGTTGGAGTAACTTGGATTCCTTTGCTACTCTCTGTTTCTAGTGTTAGTGAATCTTGTCTTTCTGGCATCTGTTAAAAGATTATCAGTGTCTTTTTGCTGTGTGAAAAGTCTCCACTTTCATCTAGAGCAGCATCCTTCCCCAAACACGACAGGAATAAGATGTTAAAAAAAATTAAGCAGAGCCAACAAGGTCACTCGTAAGTAACGCCTTTAGATTAAAAGAAATCTATTTTCCATTCTGACCCTGGAACCTCTTCAATTAATTACAAAAATCTATTTACACAGTAACCCAGATAAAATCAATTGGGTTGTTGGGAATGTTTCCATAAACCTTCCTGAGATTCGCAGAACAACAGCAACATTCCCTCTGGGTTGCCTCTTCTGTGCTTGGATTAGATAAAGTGCATTAGTGTGTCCCAATTCATTCTTACAGTTCAACTATGCAAGGCTCACCTTACACTGGAGAATACAGGGGACAGATTGAAGTTCATTTTATTTGTCCCAGCTTTGCCAAATGTCTTGGTGCAATTCATCATTTAGAACCACAGTGCTCCTGAAAGCATCATCATTCTGTTAAAAACACCAGTCAGTTGCACATTACATACCCAAAGTGTTTTTATAAGATTCTTTTAAACCTGCGGTGAATGCCATGATCACAATATTCCCCCTCCAACCCCCCACCCCCTCACACCAATAAAACATCATTCCACCTCCCCCGTTCATTGACTCAGTACACTTTAAACTGACCAGGGCTGTAGTTTTTTGGTAGAAAGTCATTCTGCAGCTTTAAAAATAGCTGCTGATGAGAAGTGCCAGAATAGCTCATTGGTATGTACACGAGAATTTTCCCAATTAAATGGGCCAATTTGCTGGATTGTCCAGATAGAGGCTTTTTAAAGTATGTGGCCCAAAGCCAGAGCTGTCCATATTCGTCCACAGACTCACATCAATGTGAGTTATTCTGAGGCTGCGGCAATGCTAAGGCTATTTTCAGCTTCCCAGCTCTTAACCCACGTCTTTCTAATCTGAACAGAAGAAAAACAGATTAATATCCACATAACCTGCATGTCCACAAGCTGTGACATGAGCTCTCAATCATAGGACAATTCGCTCTTTGCTCGGCTCAGACTGTTATCTTGACTTGCCTCAGAAGAATGAAACAAGAACCGAAAAATATACACTTTGGACGGATTTCGGTACTTGGCTGATAGTTTTCTTTTAAACATTACATTTTCAAAGAGAGATTGTTCTACAGTCACCTCGAAGATTCCTAGACATGGGTTATATTAGAACCAGACTTGTCAGCATTGAAGGAGGCCATTCAATCTGTGTTGTGCCAATTTTCTACTAGAACAATCTACTCTAGTCCTATTTCCCTGTTCTTTCCCCAAACCCTTTTATATGCTGTATTTAATTGTCATTCATGTACCTAAATGTATTTAATAGCTGTAAAAAAATGATTCAGCTTCAACAGGGTCCTGTGACAGTTCACTCCACACCTTAATAAATCTGTTTAAAAACATTCTTCTAAGCTACACCCTTTTCCCTTCTTTAAGCCTTCTTGGTGACCATTTAATCATACAGTTGAATTAAGCTTTTGGTATTTACTTTCTCAAATGATTTCATAACTCTAAACACATCTATTCACTTCTAACACTTCTATTCTTAATCATCTCAGTTTCAGTAATCATAGTCCTGGTGTATTCGCCTTCCATCTTATCTGCACTTTTTATCCCTGGCATCAACTTGGTGAATCTATGCTGCATCCTGGCAATGGTGCTGATATCCTTTTATAAAATGGCTTCCAAAACTGCATGCAATACTCGTGTAAAGTGTAGCCAAAGCAACATCCTGGAAAGATTTAACATTAAAGTATCACAGTACCTCTTTACTTTTGTATTCAATGCCCAATATACTATAAAAAGCTTAATATTCCACATAGTAATAATAATAATAATCATTGCATCTGATACAGAATCTTTCAGGTTTCATGGATCTTCACAGGATTTACTACAAGGTGTAGTGACTGTATATTTTGTTGGCGAGCATCTATAAACATCTATATTTGCCCTTTTCATGACTTTTTCAACCTGGAAATTTCCATACCACACACACACAAACATACATACAGCTATGCACACCCATTTAGACACGGGCAAACACTCACACACTTTGGAAACGTACACATACACGTGGGCATACATATGACATAAACACACACATAGAAATGCATATACAGTAATAATAAATGGGAATATATATGTATAATTATAGTAACATATGCACAGGCACACATACACACATACAAATCCACACAGATACACATACACACACATAAACATTGACACAAGACATAAACACACAAAATACACATAAGAGCATATAAACTGCACCATTTTTGAAACGAAAAGAACACTCATTTGAAATCAAAATTATCCATACTGTGCCGAACCGCAGAATCTTTCCTAACTTTTCAATACACAAGGCTATGCTTTGTTCACCAATTATCTGTACTGTGAACCACTTCATAAAGCAAGCTGCCTCAAAATAAGCAATGCAACTGTGCGCCATAACATCTGCTGAAGATAACTCTTCAGGGAATGCAAGCAATAAATTGAGCTAAACCAGGTAATTACTACAACCTGCTAAGTGTACTTACTTAAATGGTTTTTCCCCCGTGTGTGTCCGAATGTGATTGTTTAATGTTGTAGCTCCAGCAAAGGCACGTCCGCAGAAGCCACATTTAAAAGGTCTGTCACTGGAGTGCGTGACTACGTGATTCCTCAGTTCTGAAGGCTGGGAGAAGGACTGGGAGCAATGTCCGCACTGGTAAGGCCTGAAAGAAAGTCACTCATTTGTCAGCACTTTGTACTCACACCTTAGCCGCTAAAGAGATTTATTTTGACCGCATAAATATATTTGTATGTTTCTGGTAATGGTTTCAGTGTTGTCTAATAATAAGCTTTGTTCAATCAAGTCGCTACTCTTTTTTGACCAGTGTTTTTTTTCAGAATGGTTTTCTGCATTTGTCACAAAAGGGCCACTGAAATTGTTTTATTCTCGGTTCCATACAAATCTCTTGTGATTGAAATCAGTACCCTTCCTTATTGGGTTGTTAATACTCCACTTGATCCGACAATTTTAATGATGCAAATCTTAACCTCCCTCTGCAGTAACTAAGCTGGTATCCTGCGAAACAGTATTCAAATGTTTCCCTCTGCAGCTGGCAACAACATTGGCGACAGTCAATTAATTTCAGTAATAATAGTGGTGGCCACTATTGTTTCAAGAATAACAATAGCGCCCACCATTGGTTTCAGAAAAAATGTTGACCACTATTAGTTTAAACAACTATTGGTTTAAGATTCAAACCAGTAATAGTTGGTATTATTACTGAAACCAATAGTAGTCAACAATATTACATAAACTTAAATTGGCTTCAGTAACAATAATGGCGGTCACTATTGGCTTCAGTAACATAACTCATCCAGATTGTCCCTGGTTATTGTACAGTATTTGGCAAGTGAGAAGAGCCTTTATTAAACAAGAGAATATTTTGTGATATTTGATCACCATTCAGTTCAGCCTGGGATACATCTTATTCAGCTAAATCTCCTACACACATCAAAGCCATGAAACTTAATATTCACAAACTTTCAAACCATTCTGTGCAGATCAAGGTATTCAGATAACATTTATCTTCTATGTGTATTCCAAAGAGATTCTTTCAAGAGATAAGCGGAGTCTCCTTGGAGCTGAACTAACTCCAAGGTGACATGTTTGTCAACGGAATGTCAGTATCAAGCCTTCCGTGGCGGTCCCAATATTCTGCTTCCTGAGTCTGATGACAGCACAGCCAGCAGGACTCATCGGCAGGAGCTGGAAGGGCAGACCAATCACTGTGGGCAGAGAGTAATCGCACTCAGCTCCCGTTATTCCTGCAAGCCAAAGCCCTAACCAGAAGAGTGATCCTAACTAGACAAGTACAATAGAGTGGTGAGGTGAGTGGTGAGAGACTGTCTACTATGATAACTGCATGTCCAAAAGCTGTGAAGGTCACCATAGTGCTGTTAGCCTCGGTGCCTGTCACTTATTCAGCCTACGTGATGGCACAGATCTGCCGTTAACATGAACACTGATTGACTGCACCTCATGGGCAGTGAGCACGTCTTGGCTAATTGGTAGAGATCACCATCTTCTCACGATGCCCATAAAACAGTGTGAATTGTTGAGGTTTTAAGATTCCCTCAATCATAGTTGTCCATATATTAGGGCTCTTCAGCCTTAAAAAGGGACATTTCAGAGAGAACTTAAATGGTAAAGGATGAGACTCTGGAAGGATGATATCAAGTGGACCAGAGGGTTCTCTTTATTAAACCTCTCTTGTGATCTTTTATGGTAACAATTCTCTAAGAGAGTTGAAGTCAAGCATAACTGCCTCTTGGAGTTTTGATCCAAGCACCTCTATATCACAATGTGCTATCTGTCAATAGCTTGTGATAGTGAGGTTTTCACAGCAGAAGCAATTGCTGCAGTGTTCTCAAGCGTAGACCTTGGCACAGAAAACTGGTGCTCCAAACAGTAGTCATGTGGCAAACCACACAGTACAATCACATATTGGAGTCTTACACACTACACACCACTTTCTCCAACCATATGAATGGAGCCAAGTGAGTCTCTTAACAGTCCTGCTGCGCTCCCAGCCTGTGGTAGAAAGTAGGCTTATTAATATTTGCATTGCCAGACAACTCAATTGGGAGGACACAGATTTCTTGGCCTGTAGCAATGGGTATCTCATCCCAACACTGCCACTCCTGTATCACCAGTGCTCACTGCCTCACTCTGGGCTCCCTCAACAACACCAGAATCATGTCCAGTGCATGTATCTGAGGTGGTGCCTACATCAAGTAGGGGTGATGATGGTTCATGCTCTGTTGTGTGGTGATAGTGTGCACTGCGTTCTTATTGTGGCAGACCCTCCGAGGGATTCTTGTTGTTCTGTAGAGAGACCAGATGGTAGATTATCAATACAATGCCCACAGATTCATTGGGTGCTACACTTTACTGACATAACTGAAACATTATCATATATTACATGTAGTATGAAGTGCTTATGTATAATCAATTTGTTGAATCACATTGTGTAAAATTCATATAAAGAGATTGAAAAGCTGTTCCTCTTGAAACTAATAGCATTACTGGCATCTCGCAAACGGAAAGAAGTAAACTGCATTTTCTGCAGGAAATCCCCTGTATGTTACACCAACCTGCAAGAGCTCAGCTCTGATAAGATCTCAGGTCAAGGTCTTGGAAGAACAACAATAACTTGCATTTATATAGTCCCCCTCACACAGGGTCATGTCCTAGAGCGCTTGAATGCTACCACTTTCAACAGGAGTGCTTTTCCAACCTATATATCTGAATAATTTAGTACCTACCACAAAGGTGTTGTTCAACTCCAATGTCCTATCATTTACATGCCTTCCGGGTTTCCTTCTCAAATAACTCCATTCTGCTCTCTTTGTAGAGCAGGGCTCAACTTCCATTTGTGCAGCAATTCATGCAATGAACACAGGAACAGTAGCAGTTGAGATAAGGTGTTTTCATCAATGCAAAATCTTTCCAATAGTACATTCATCTCTCCTCACAGCACCATCATTGCAATTTAACATTCATTTGGTTTCTGCATGATTGCTGACATTTCTCGATCAGTAGATGTCCATGTTATTTCTGAACCCGCATATACTGAAGTACTGTATAAAAGAGTCCCACTATATTCAGCACTTATTTGTGACCAGGCCTCTCTATGTCACCTCTTCCTTCTTGATCTCTCTGCTGCCTTTGATACTGTTGACCACTCTGTTCTTCTCCACTGCCTCGCCTCTCGGCTCCACCTTCATGGCTCTGTCCTTGCCTGGTTATATACTTACCTTTCCCATCGTCTCCACTTTGTTTTCACCAATGGATTCTCCTCTAGCCTTCACACCATCACGTGTGGTGCTCCCCAGGGCTTTGGTCTCAGTTCTCTCCTTTTTAATATTTACATGCTCCCACTTTGGGATATTGTTCGCAGACATAGGGTTAACTCAACACTATCTCTCCCCTCAGGCTGCTGAGATCATCATCCACGCTTTCATTATGTCCAGGCTTGATATGCTAACTCCCTGCTCACCAAACTTCCCAACTCTTCCTTCCACAAACTGCAGATTATTCAGAACTTTGCATCTCGTGTCCTTTCCCGCACTAAGCTCCATGAGCCGATGACACTCATCCTTGCCTGGCTTCATTCTCTTCCCAGCCCCCAGAAGATAGTGTTCAAGTGGAGTCCTGTAGCTCAGTGGTTAGAGCACTCGCTTTGCAAGTGAGAGACCTGAGTTCAATTCCAGGCAGAGGGCGAAACCTTGGGCAAGTTTCCTTACTCCACACGCCTAATAATAATCCCTCCAAAACAAAACAATAATAAATTGGTCATTTTCAATCTACGACTGTTTGTGGGACATTGCTGTGCGCAATTGGCTGCCGCGTTCGCCCACAAATATACAGTCAATTCACTTTACAGTCTATTCTGTGAAGCGCTTTGGGACGTCCTCCCGACGTGAAAAGCGCTATATCAAATGCAAGGATTATTATTATTATTATTATTATTATTAAGATCCTTGTTCTCACCTTTAAAACCCAGCACAGTCTTGCTCCTCCTTAACTCTGCGACTTATTAAAACTTTACCAACCTGTCTGCTCCATCCACTCAGCGGGCATTAGCCTGCTCCGTATCTCCTGTCCTGCCTGCTCCACTATCAGCCTTTTTGCCCCCACCCTCTGGAACAACATCCCGGGCTCCTCCACATCGTCCCCTCCCTTGCCCCTTCAAGGCCCATTGCAAGACCTTTCCTTTTGACCGTGCATTCAGGCAATCTTCTCTCCTCTACCAGCCTCCACATCCTCTTTGCCCTCCACCTCTCTCTGACCCCAACCCACAGCTCTGTTGCAAACCCTCATTGTCCAGTGCCTTGAGACGTCCTCCTGATGTGAAAGGCGCTATATAAATGTAATTTGTTGTTGTTGTACCTTTGCATGTTGGGGGACCTTCTATGTCCATGCTGAAAATCTCTACTTGCAGCTCCTTAATCACCAGCAAATACTGGTCCTCATCAAAACCTGTTGTTTTCTGAATTTTTCATTCAAGTGTTTTCACTTCAAATTGTTCACTTTACATCTGGTCGATGCTCAGCTCATTCATTTGTTGCTTCAGAAGCATTAAATGTCCATTAGTGCCAGTTGGCGTTGGCTGACATGTCTTCGCTAACAGAAGTGAAATTATGTTTCTTCCATCTGGCATTTAGAAATGGTGGGAACCCGTCAGGTTTCGTCGGGAAAAAAAGGCGAGTCAACTTCTTGCCTATTTCTTATTAGGAACAGGAATATTGTACCCAAAGAAAAAAACAAATTTGTTCAAAAAAACTTGAATATTCAATTTTTCCCAGTGGAATTTTTCATATGCAAAGTACATAAGAAGCACTGGCACTGCTGTATTTTGTTTGAAATTTGGAATAGAAAATTTGAATTTCAGAATGGATCTCCTTATTTAAAGTTTCATGATCCATTCATCAGCATCCTAAGCAATGATATAACTGCTGATTAAGATATTTACACAGTGCTTTAATTCTTTGGTTGACCCATACAAATGTGTGTGTGTGAAAGACAATCAAATAAAATGTTCTAAATATAAGAAAAATAATCTGGGTGCATTGTGTTACCATTTCGCTCACAAGTAAACTATCTATAGATTATTATTATTATTATTGTAGATTTGAAAAACATCGCTGTTATAACATTGTCAACCTCCATTAATTCAGCATTGCCATTTTCTAATGCAATTTTACTCAAGTAATTGGAAACTTCTACAAAACCACAATCATTTCCAGAAAGAAATATAATGAAATGCTTTGATTAATTTAAGATAAATTATAATAATAATCCCTGTATTTAATATAGCGGTTTTATGTTGGGAGGACATCTCATAATGGTTCGTAAGATTTCCTCTGACTGTGCAGTGTGTAGGTAATCGCAGCAAGTAATCTCTCAATTTGCACAGAACAATGTCCGACAAACAGCCCTAATAATAAAACAATCCCTGCATCTAGCACCTTTCACATCAGTAGGCCATCTCAACAGGTTTTACAGGATTTACTTCATGCGTAGTGATTGTATTTTGTAGGTGAACACAGCAGCCAATTTATGCACAGCAATGTCCCACAACTAGCCAAAAAGTGAATAACTAATTTTATCGGGGCATTGTTGGCCAGGACACCAAGAGAAACTCCCCTCTCTTTTTGAATAGTGCCATGGAATCTTTAATCATTTGAGTAGGCAGTAAGGACCTTGGTTTAACATTTCATCCAAAGGAAACACTTCCAATTACACAGCACATTTCTAGCACTATTAGGAGTATCAGTTTAGACTATATGAGCTTGCAGTCCTAATATGATGCTTGAACCCACAACCTACTGACTCAGAGGCGAGAAAGACCAACAAAGCCACACTGACAATTAAATATTGAAATCAATCCTGGGAGATCATCTGTGCATTTTGGTGAATTTTACTGAACTTTAATGATGATCCATTGTTAGTACCCACAGCCAAAGGTTTCTTTTTTGATCATCCGGGTGTCTGACACATGTGGAAACCCATCATCATGTTCAAGAGTATCCAAACCAAACAGAGTTGCATGCATTCCACCTACATGTGGAAATTCCAGAGATTTTATTGGAATGGAATGTGCACTCTCTCCCTGGAGGGTGCATCTAACTTATCTAATTCCGGAAAGTATTAGGTGAAAGTTGGCAAGAGCCAAGGCTTGGAGACTCCAGAGTTTACGTTAGGGTACTGACCAGTTACAACCGCATAGTTTGCCATTGATATTGCTGTCTGGCAAGCTTTTTCCACTGCTTGACCAACTCAGACCACCCTACTGCTTTGGCTTGCAGGGTTAACAACAACATCAAAATTACATTTGTATAGCACTTTTCATGTCGGGAGGACATCCCAAGTTGATGGACAATCAGTGTTTCGGATTCGACTGGGATTGGGGTCGGGGAGGGTGGAGGGCAGAGGATGAAACAGGGTGATCGAAGGCACGGTCGAAATGGAGGGTCTTGAGACAGGTCTTGAATGAGGTAAGGGAGGGGGCGAGGCAGAGGGACTGTGGGATTGAGTTCCAGAGAATGGAGCAGAGTGGCTGAAGGTCTGCCCTCCAATGGTGGGACGGGCGAGGTGGGAGACATGAAGCACGTCGGAGACCGTTGAGCGGAGGGAGCTGGCAGGTTGGTAGGGGGTTAGGGGGTCAGAGAGACAGCGGGGAGCAAGGCCATGGAGGGCTTTGATGGTGAGGACCAGGATCTTGAACTGTAACCTCTGTGTGTGGAGTCAGGCAAGGATGGGGTAATAGGATTACTGTGCCTGGTGCGGGAGAGGACACAGGCTGCAGAGTTCTGGATGATCTGCAACCTATGGAAGGAGGACTTGGGGAGGCCGACAAGCAGGGAGTTTGCATAGTTGAGCCTGGATGTTATGAATGTGTGTATGAGGGTTTCGGCAGTTTGCAGTGAGACAGTCGCGGAGCTGGGCGATGTTGTGGAGGTGGGGGAAGCCAAAGCGAGTCATGGCATGGATGTGGGGTAGAAAGGATAGTTGAGGGTAAAACAAGACACCAAGCTTCTGGACTGGCTTAGTAAGGTGAAGTGTGCGTCCTTGGACGGTGATGCTGTCAGCACCTGAATGACAGACATTCTGTCAGAATAGCAGTGGTCCTGGAGTTAAGGGTGGAGGCAGAGAGATAGAGTTGGGTGTCATCTGCATACTTGTGGAAGATGATCCCGTGTTTGCGGATGATGTCACTAAGAGGGAGCATATAGATATTGAAGAGCAGGGGACCAAGGACAGAGCCCTGAGGAATGGCGCACAAGATGGTTTGGGGGCTAGAGGGAGCTAGACGGAAGCTGAGTGGGAAGAATCCCTGCCTCCGATGATTGCTCTTCCTCTTCTCAAGTCCTATCAATGAGCCAACCTTGGGTGTGCTGTCATCAGCAGTGTCCTGGAGTACTGTGAACCTGCCTGGCTCAGGAACTGGACTAGAGATCATCACAGATGGCTAGCTCATTTCTAACATTCTGTTACTAAATGTATCACCTTGGAGCCATTTCAGCTCAGTGAATCGCAGGTAACAGGAACTGCCTGCGAGAGCACTGCCAACATCTTACCTCCCAGAGCTCAGAAACACTTCCCTTCCCATTGAGCGATGGTTCCAACATTTGAAGAGGTGGGAAGTTTGAGCAGCAGCTACTTACTAAACCAATCAAGGTGGATCTGAAACTCTGAATTCAAAATTTTCTGATAAATACAAAATAATGTCCACCCACCCTCCATGTCATGTGTGAGGTTTCCAATTGCATTGCAACATCAATGGACAAAGGTGCTTCAACAACAACAAAATTACATTTAAAGAGCACCTTTCATGTTGGGAGAACGTACCAAAGCGCTGAACAGTCAGGTGTCGGGGCCCCGAGTATGGAGGGGGGGGGGGGGGGGTGGCGGGTGTAGGGGTGAGGGAAGGCAGAAAGGTGGGAGGGAGACCAAAGGCACGGTCGAAGAAAAAGGTCTTGAGACCGACCTTGAAGGAAGCAAGGGAGGAAGCCAGGCGAAGGGACCATGGGATGGAGTTCCAGAGTGTGGGGGCAGAGAGGCTGAAGCCCGGCCACCGATGGTAGGAGACATGGAGCAGGCCGGAGCCCGATAAACGGAGAGAGCGGGCAGGCTCATAGGGAGTCGACCGGTCAGAGAGGTAGGAGGAGGCAAGGCCATGGATGGCCTTAAAGGTGAGGACGAGGATCTTGAACTCGATCCTCTGGGGGATGGGGAGCCAATGGAGTCGGGCGAGGGTGGGAGTGATAGTCATTTCAATAAATGCTTTGAGTTTTTCTATAAATGTCACCAATCTATTTCATATTGGGAACATAGGAACAGGAGGAGGCCACTTGGCCATTTGAATCTGTTCCGCCTTAATAATAGATCACTGTAGATATTTTAATCCCATTTCTCCAACTTTGCTCCCTATCTCTTAAGACCCTTACTTCCCAAGTATCTGTTTATCTTCCTTTTATGCATCCCAACCAATTCTGCTTTGACTTTTTGGGCAGTAGATTCTGCATTTTTACAACCCTCTGCGTGAAGAGATGTTTACTCTTTATTATGATATGAGAATGATAAATGTGTGAGCCTCTTGCATTATCTGGGCTGTCTGTGTTTGATTCCGGTTACCTGTCTGGGTTCTGTGGACACACGTGCATCTGTAGAAGAATCCGTTGAGTAAAGGTCTTAAAGCACTGTCCACATTTCCATAGGTGCCAGTCACTGAATTCTCCATTTAATTGGCTGGTTGAAGTTGGACTTGCCAGTATTCGTTGGTTCTTCATATGACCCTGGTTGGCTATTAACTCAGCCTGGCCTGACTTGTCACACAGTGACTTGTTGCATGATGTCCCCATGGAACGGTACACACCGGTGGGAGGCATCTTGCTGGTCTTGTTGAATGACTGCAAAGTCTCATGTCTGGCCATTACATCAGCAAGAGACGAAGGGATATTCACTTTGGAAACAAAGTAAGACAATTAATATGTTTCATCTACACAATCGAAATTTAGAACTCAAGTACTGAGGTAACACAACTGCACACAATTCTGAATATTATCAATTTATCAATGCTATTATTAGTCTGCAATGTCAAAATTTCAGAACAGGGCATAACTTTATTTTTATGACAATGGGGTTTAAAATTCACCATCCGCAAACCAGAACAGGCGAACCGTTGTGAGGATACGGAATGCCTCAACAAAAACAGTGGTTGAAACTGAATCCATCATTGGTTTTCAGCAAGAATTAGACAAACAATGGAGAAGAAAATTATAAAAGTGTATGGTGGAAAGGCAGGGTATGGTCTAAACAGATAGGTCTTTCAGACAGCTGGCACTGACTTGCTTGGTCAAATGACAAGGGTGGACCTTAATTATGAAAAGGTAAAAGGTTTGCAATTTTCCTTAATAATAATGTTTGCATTTGATAGAGCGAATATAACACCAAACCACCTCAAAGATCTTCACAGCAATTACTGTTAAATGCAGTGACTTTGTATATGTAGACAAATGTGGCAGAAATTTGTTCACAGCAATGTCTCACAAACAGCCAGACTGTGAACAACGAATGTATTTATTGGTCAGGACACCGAGAAAAATTCCTTTCTCTTTTCAAATAGTGCAATGGGATCTTTAGCATTCACCTGAAGAACAAGTAATATAATAATAATAATAATCCTTGCATTTGATATAGTGCTTTTCACGTCTTCTAGACGTCTCCAAGAGCTTCACAAAATAGACTGTAAAGTGAACTAACCACATATTTGTGGGCAAAATACAGCAGCTGATTGCACACAGCAGTGTCCCACAAACAGTCCTGGATTGAAAATGACCAATTTATTATTGTTTTGGAGGAATTATTATTAGGCGTATGGAGTAAGGAAACTTGCCCAAAGTTTCGCCCTGCCTTGTGTGGTGCACATCCACAGATATGAAGAGACATCAAGGGACCATGTTGTAAGGAGGCACATAGTCAAGATGACTGCCTTGACGTTACTTCCTGCCCAGGAAATAAAGTTAAGAACAATCATCTTTACTATATGTAGATGGGACCTTGGCTTAATGTCACATCTAAAGACCAACACTGCCAATAATGTCATGCTCTCCCATGCTGTACTGGAATGTCAGAATAAACAATGAGGTCAAAGTCCCCAACATCGGGCTAGAGCCCACTGATCCAGAGGTGAAAGTGCAACCAACTGAACTAAACACAAGGTAATTAACACGAGATGTGTGTTATGAAACTGAAACGTTACTGCACCACCAGCAACAAAAGCAAGACAGATAGTCCTCTTATTTTGTTTTTTTCCTTCTATTTTCGGAAATTCCACTCCAGACAATATCCCAGTTGATGATTCCCCCCCTATCCCCCATAACTTTGTCAAAATATTTGGCCCAAAGCTGTCATTACTGAGCACGTGCACCATTGAACACACTGTCCCAGAGAACGCAGCATTTCAGTGCCAGCTCATGGGCTACTAGCTCAACACACAGATGAATTGTTTGCTCCATATAGAAGCAAGTTGTACAAATTTTCCTTTTGTTTCTTTCATTCTTTGTTGTTTCTTTTTATGTTGAATTGAATGTAAAGTGGACTTGATTGTGTTCCATATAAGCTGAAGATCATTATTTTCCAAAAGTGGTGAACTGATTTCAACTGGGAAACCTCAAAGCTGAGATGTTGGGACTGTGTACAGGAAGATCTGAATGAAACAGTGCCAGTGTACAGACAGTTAACGTAGATAGCGGAGTGGAGACTGTGAAGGTAAGGTTTTGTAGTGCCTACAATCTGCCTGCATAACGAATGGATGACAGACTAAGATAATTACTGTACAATGTAAGGTGTTGCTTCACATATCAATGTTAGAATGTACAGTAGTTGCATTGAAATTCATATTTAAGTACTAACTTTTATTAAAATAGTGATACACACAGTAATGTGCAATAATTGTGTTTCAGACCATATAAAAGACCTACAACCCCATTTTTAATCCTGCCAAATGTTAGGAGCGACTCAACATAAATGGAATCGAGTATTCCAGTATGGAAGTTTTAAACAACAGTGACATTCGCTACATGAAATCAATACAATTCGGATTTTACTAGAGATTCCTTGTCAGGAAAGAAAAAAAACTAAATTATCCAATCTCACATTTAACATCTGAATCATCAGACAGATGGTCAAGGTCTGTTAACTCATGGAACAGTCAGGACCTCGGGTTGTCTGACTTGAATACTATTAATTAGGGCAAAATCCCACCCCTTGTTCAAGGTTCAAATTCCTGCTTGTTTTCAATACATTAAAGTAGAGCTCTCAGAAAAACTGATCAACACAAAATCCTGTGCAAAAATACACATTTACGGCAAGACCATGTACAATGCAATAGATTTATATTCAAAACTAAACAGAAATTATAATCCAACTTTGACCTTCATCGTTATCGCTATTAAGAATGTTTCCATGTTGGAAACACAACAGGGAATTCTTTCTAGCCAACAATCCTCTGATTATCTAATGATAAAATTGATCATTCACTTCATGGCTATTTGTGGGATATTGCTGTGTCCAAATTGGTACTGTGTTTGCCTATAAATAGATAAAAACGTCAGTTTACAATAAAATCTTATGAAGCGCTTTGAGACATGTGAGGCACTGATATAACATATTAATTTTTTTATAATAGATCTAAAGGGATTGATAAAGTACAACAGGCCAATGTATTCCAATGAACTGACATCAATCAAAATATTTTTAAAGACATTTGAGTATAATATTGAGAGATATTCGAGCCTGAGTAGTAGGGAGCAGGACTGCCATCAAAAAAATAATAAATTGGTTACTCAATCCACAATTGTTTGTGGGACACTGCTGTAAGCAATTGGCTGCTGGTTTTGCCCACAAGATATACAGTCACTACACTTTACAATATATACTGTGAAGGACTTTGCAATGTCTCCAAAACATGAAAAGGCACTTGATCAAATGCAAGGATTATTATTATTATATTCAAATTTCCTCTGACCCTCAGTGTGGGATTGCCTAAGAAAAGATACTTTCAAATAAGACCTACTAAAAAATATCTGTTTCCTAAATATGAGCTGATTCAGCGTAAATCCTGGTTTTCCCATAACGTCTTGACAATCTCACATATTTTGCATAGAATTAACTTTGTGGCAGTCTAATTCAGATCGGCTTTCAACACTAAAGCTGCAATAAGGTGTAATTGTGATATTCTCGTCAGGGTGAGAAGTGCGAATTGTGCCATCTGTTCATGACTTGTGAAATCCATTTGATTTGTGATTAAGGTATTGATGATTAAAATCTCCTACAAATTCACATCAATTCTCACAGCTAGATGGTTCTTCATCAACACACAAGCCGAGTGATCCAAGTTTAAGAGATGTCTTGGATTAATGTACAATTTTCTCTCAAACTATCCACAATAGCACTTTTGCCCCATCGTTGCATCATAGATCTTGTATTTGGTTGAGCTTACATCTGCTTACTGATTCTATTCTAAAATCTTAGAAAAATAAAAAGGGGTGAAAAATAAGTGCTACTCGGTCCACACTATGGAGACCAGTAGTCTGCTAATCAATATAGTGTCTAAGGACCAATAGTCTATACTACCTCTGGTTTCAATCTAGATCCTGAGCAGACGTTGGCAATTTATGCAAAGAAGGTCACCTTAGCTGCATCTTCTATTGCTGCCTGTTCAGCAACTAGCCAGTTCCCTCAATGCTATCAGCTAGCCATTGATCTTTTATCTCAGTGTCCAGAGCAAACTGTTGTGGCTTTGCTTGTATATGTAAATACTCAGATGGATTACACTTTCCTGTTCATGCTGTTCATCCTGAGAAGCTGTTTTCTTAAGGCTTAAGTGACAAAGAGAAAAGGAGCTACAGAAACTGCTGGCTTTTCTGGAAAGATTTGAGAGTTTTTTTTAAGTTGTGGCCTACAATAATATCCAAAAAGGGAACAATGGAATTAAATTTTTCAGGCAGCCATTGTGGAGACACTCCACACAAACTATGTATCTTTGGAAAGAGAATTGATTTTATTGGAAGTCTTGTTCATTTTCGTTTTCTTCTTAATTTACCAGTGTCAGTGGCCCTGAAGTATCCAAATTGTTAAGGAAAAAGTTACTTAAACATTAAAAGCCTGTTTGAATTATTTTTATTGGTTAAAATTACAATGAGTATGTTGCAGTGTCTACAGTGATTATGTTGCCTCCTCCCCCCATGTCCCCTTCCACCCCACTCAGACCATCCACACTGCTTTCTCCTTCCTCCACGGCTCCTGCCAATCCCCTCTCCTTACACTCCTTTGCCCCCATTTCTCCCTTCTCCCTCTCAACCACAATCACTTGGATGAAATTCATCACCCGATTACTCGAACCCCCCCACCCAGCTGATAGTCACTCAACTCCCCCTCCTCTCCCTCCTGCTAGACAATATGGTCAACCAGTGCCTCTCCATAGGCTCTGTTCCACTCCCCTGAAAACCGCTATTATCACACCCCTCCCCCCCAAAATACCCTCAATCCCTCTAATCTCTCACACTACCCTCTAATCTCTCACACCCTCAATCCCTCTAATCTCTCACACTTCCAACCTACTCTTCCTTGCCAAAATCCTGTAACGCATTGTTGCAGGTCAACTTCGGTCACACCTCTCCCTCCACTCCCTCCTTGAACTCCTGCAGTCGGGTTTTCGCCCACGGCACAGAGACAGCGCTTGTCAAAGTTACAAATGACGTCCTCACTATCTGCGACCAGGGCTCCCTCTGCCTCCTCGTCCTCTTGGATCTCTCTTCTGCATTCGACACAGTCAACCACGCTATACTCCTCCATTGCCTTTCCTCCCTCATCCACCTTAGAGGGACCGCACTCGCATGGTTTGAGTCCTACTTAACCAACCACCTCCATTTCATCTTGGCAAATGGTTTCTCCTCCCTC